GGGGTTCCTCTGTCTTTTCTTCAGATTCGGACTCTCTTGACGGTGGCAGGCCGTGAGTGGGCCGCTGTCGGCCCGGTCTCGAGGAGCCGCCGAGGTTAATAGTTATTATGGATGATCCCTGGTGGCAGAGACAAGTCAAGCCATCACACATGTNGAGAGAGAGAGAGAGAGGAGGAGGAGAGGGGATGTGTGTGTAGATTGACAAACATCACTGTCTTAAGGCTTTTTTTTTCTTTTTACAACTCTTCTGAGACGTCTCTGGTCTCTGTGTTTAGGTCTGTGAGTGGGCCCAAGTGGAGCCTCTACTATGTCGACTCGCACGAACCTCGCACACGGTAGGGAGGGAGACCCGGATGGTGGAAGGAGGTATTGGGGTAGGGAAGGAGGGAGGCCGGGAAGAAGGTGGGGTTACTGTCTGTATTTCGATATATATTCAGATTTGTACGGCACTCGTCTTGGACGGTGGCGCTGGAGGTCCGTGAGTGCGGTCCGCTGTGTCTTGCGGCGGGCGCGGCTCTCGGAGAGCCTGCGCGGAGGTTAAGTAGTGATTACTGGATTGAACTCCCTATAGATCAAGGCCATCAGCACATAGTTGAGGATGGACACACGACCCCAGATCGCGACAATGAGAACTCCAGAGACGGGCGACAGGAGAGGGACAGAAGGTAGGGACGACAAAGCTACATTTGCTACTTATTGTAAAATACTGATGGACTTTTAAACTGAAAGAGCCATTCCCATTATACATTATACATGATACAGTAGAAAATTTATAGGCAAAAAGTAGATTTGTTGTTTTGTTTTCACTCCTAACTAAAGGGCAAAGTTAGCAGCTCTCCTCTGTCGCTCTCGTTAATGACCTGAAACCGCTTCGTCTACTCATGCACAGCTACCGCTCCTTAAGGTTGTTCCTGTGTCCTGTTGCTGGCGGCCATCTTTGTTTTGTCTTTGCTTGGGGGGCATTTAGAGTCATTGGGTGGGGGCTGGTTGGGCTTGCTGCTGGGGGCATGCTTGGCGGGGGAGCTAGGCGTGGCGGGGGCGCCAGGGGAGTGGGACGCTTGGATGTTCTTCTCGTCTGAAAAAAGCTGTTTAATTACGTCAAAGAAGTTACTCAACGGGCTGCCTACACAGATGGGAAGAAAAGAAAAACAAAGAGAGAGAGAGAGAACAAACAACAGATGAGCAATGAGGTTAACGTGAGGAGAGGAGGAGGTGATGGAGGGATGAGAGGAGGAGTGGAGCCGGAGAAAAGGAGACTCTTCAGCCAGGAGGGGGGTTGGGGTCATTCGGGCCAGAGGAAGGAAAAAGGTGCAAGGTCAGGTGACAAAACACTGGAGTCATATTTTAGTATTTCTGTCGTGAGGACAGACTCGGCTTCAGAGTCTCAGTTTCTCCTGCTTGGTGAAGAACTAACAGGAAAACTGGACGATGATTCAGGAGCCAGAGATTCACAGGAACAGACTTGAACCTTCAGTCAAACTGAAGACTTTTAAAATCCACAGTTCAATATGTCTTTCACAAAAGTAAAAAACTGATAGAACACAATCTAACACGATTTTTATTACGTCAATATTTTTGCAGAACTTCCAGCAGGAAATAAAAATGAATCCTAATGATATAATTACTTTAATTAAACAACTGACAAAAACGTTTTTCTGTTTTGTTTTTATTAACTATTTTATTAATGTGCCCCATGTTTTTATATCCCACTGGGGACAAATAAAATGATTGATTGTTACTTATCTGCTTTTTTGTTCTATATTTAAATATCCGATTATACATATTATATTATGTATTATTTATCTTTTTAGTATTTGATATTAACATTTTGCAGTTTCTTTTTTTGTACTGTCCACTCTGCTGCTTACCTAATCTAATCTTAGAACCTGGACCCATATAAGCATCAGACAGGATGCCCATGATCCTGTCTGATTAGCATATAATTATTTATTTTATTGAGGAAGTTATTTGGCTGAAATGTTGAATTTTGCCTAAAATAAACTAGAAACTAAATACACAGCAAATTTTGGCTGGTTCAAATCGGTGGTCTGCAGATTAAAAATATTCACCCTGAGCCAAATATTCAGTCTCATCCTGAAGCTGTGACAGTTTTTGGTCCATGTAAATAACATAACATAACATGGAAATGAACTGCATGTTGTCTTAGTTTTAGCAGCAGTACTTTTTACTGCAGGAATCTTGCATGTGCGTTTTCTCCTCCAGGTTTTTACTGTTTCTGTGTGAACGTCGTCCAAAGCTCCTGTTAACTCTCCATCATATCAACATCCATCACAACAACATCCATCTGTTAAGACACAGGCTGTTTGGTAAGTGCTTTAATACATGCAACAGTACAGCACAGTACACACACATTAATACACAACCACTTGTCATTGGCGAGGTTAGTCTCCACAGTGTGTCTCTACAGTGATTCAACATCTCGTCCTCTGTGTTCAGTAGGAAACGAGTCTGTCACAGTGAAGCTGAAACTTACCATCTCTCCTCTTCATCACAGTGACGTGAGCATTTGTGCTGTCTGACATTTTTACTCCCGTGATTTCAAACATGGAAAGTTGTAGAGGGGGGGGGGGCAACACAGTATCAAGCAACACCATGCAGAGGGTTACTGAGTCAGTAAAGAGCCACACACACATTCACAAATTCACACAATGAAATACATCCATCTTATCAAGCCACTTGGTCTACTCTAAAAACCTACTGAAGTAACAGTTAATATTAAGTTATATGATGTCCTATTTTTGCTTTTTATTCATTAACAAAGGACACGTTATTTTTATTTGTCCACCTTCTCCTGACAGGAGTAGGACCGACCAACTAATCAGCTTGCCTGACGAAGATGTGGTGGTGTTGAGAGTTGGGAGGTGTCCACAGCCTGTAGCCTTTCATGACAACATACAGTTGTCTGCAAGCGTTATAAGGTAAATTATGTCCATGAAAAAAAAAGAGAAAGTCATGTATGTTTTTACTTTTATAAGTAATTATTAAGAAAATGTACATACACATATACAAACATATAGGATTTTAATTAATTTTTAATTTTATTATATTTACATTTAGTATTTCATGTTATATCTTTATATATCCACAGAATACATATATATATATATATATATACTGTGACATTTTTAACATTTTTATGCCGTACTATACTATGACTTTTCATGCCTTGCTATACTATGACTTTTTTTTTGACATTTTTATGTCATACTGTACTATGACTTTTTATGCTATGACGTTTTTTGACATTTTTGTGCCTTACTATACTATGACTTTTTATGCCTTACTATGGAATGAAGGTTTTTGACATTTTTATGCCATACTATACTATGACTTTTTATGTCATACTAAACTATGAATTATTATGCCTTGCTATACTATGACGTTTTTTGACAATTTCATGTCATACTATACTATGACGTTTTACACCATGCAATACTATGATGTTTTTTTGACAATTTCATGTCATACTATACTATGACTTTTTATGCTATGACGTTTTTTGACATTTTTGTGCCTTACTATCCTATGACTTTTTATGCCTTTCTATACTATGACTTTCTATGCCTTACTATACTATGACGTTATTTGACATTTTTATGCCTTACTATACTATGACTCTTTATGCCGTACTATAACATAACGTTTTTTGACATTTTTGTGCCTTACTATACTATGACTTTTTATGCCTTACTATGGAATGACGTTTTTTGACATTTTTATGTCATACTATATTATGACTTGTTGTGTCATACTATACTATGACGTTTTTTGACAATTTCATGTCTTACTATACTATGACTTTTTACACCATGCAATACTATGACTTTTTTTTTTTGACATTTTTATGTCATACTATACTATGACTTTTTATGCAGTACTATACTATAACTTTTTATGCTATGACATTTTTTGACATTTTCATGCCGTACTATCCTATGACTTTTTATGCCTTACTATACTATGACTTTTTATGTCATACTAATACAATGACGTTTTTTGACATTTTTGTGCCTTACTATACTATGACTTTTCATGCCTTACTATACTATGACTTTTTATGTCATACTATACTATGACTTTTTATGCCGTACTATACTATGACGTTTTTTTGACATTTTTATGTCATACTATACTATGATATTTTTTGACATTTTTATATCATACTATACTTTTTATGCCTTGCTATACTATAACTTTTTATGCCATGCTATACTAAGACTTTTTTTTTTTACATTTTTATGTCATACTATACTATGACTTTTTATGCCTTACTATAGTATTTTTTTTTTTACATTTTTATGTCATACTATACTATGACTTTTTATGCTATGCTGTTTTTTGACATTTTCATGTTGTACTATACTATGACTTTTTATGCCGTATTATACTATGACTTTTCATGCCGTACTATACTATGACGTTTTTTGACATTTTTGTGCCTTACTATACTATGACTTTTTATGCCTTACTATGGAATGACGTTTTTTGACATTTTTATGTCATACTATATTATGACTTGTTGTGTCATACTATACTATGACGTTTTTTGACAATTTCATGTCTTACTATACTATGACTTTTTACACCATGCAATACTATGACTTTTTTTTTTTGACATTTTTATGTCATACTATACTATGACTTTTTTATGCAGTACTATACTATAACTTTTTATGCTATGACGTTTTTTGACATTTTCATGCCGTACTATCCTATGACTTTTTATGCCTTACTAATACAATGACGTTTTTTGACATTTTTGTGCCTTACTATACTATGACTTTTCATGCCTTACTATACTATGACTTTTTATGTCATACTATACTATGACTTTTTATGCCTTACTATACTATGACGTTTTTTTGACATTTTTATGTCATACTATACTATGATATTTTTTGACATTTTTATATCATACTATACTTTTTATGCCTTGCTATACTATAACTTTTTATGCCATGCTATACTAAGACTTTTTTTTTTACATTTTTATGTCATACTATACTATGACTTTTTATGCTATGCTGTTTTTTGACATTTTCATGTTGTACTATACTATGACTTTTTATGCCGTATTATACTATGACTTTTCATGCC